CGGGCCCCGGCCTGCCGCGCCCCGCTGCGCCGGCGCCTGGGGAGCCTCTCCTGGGCCGCGGGGGGCCCGGCCGGCCTTCCGTGAGCAGCGCCCGGGCCGTCCGCGCGGCTCGCGCCCCATGTGCCGGGCGGGCGGGCGGGGGGGGCGGTGCTGCAGCCTCGCGCTTCCCCCATTGTCCTTGGCTGGGCTCGCTCGCTCGTGCTCCAGCGCGCCGGGCAACTTGGGGCTCTTCCGCTCGTCGGAATCTAAGCAGCGGGCATCGAGGAGAGACCCCCCCCCCGATAAAGGGCAGTTGCCCACGCGCGGGGGCGGGGGGCGCGGGGCGGGCTGGAAGCCTTCCGGTTTGTGTGGCTCTTGCAGCGAACGCGAAGGGGCCTCATCATCCAGACTTCGGCCGTGGCCGTGGCGTCAAAACGGGGTGTGCGTTCCCCTGGATGCGCTCCTGGTTCTGGGGGACGAAGACTGGCTTCGCATGGTCTCGGCCTCGGCGCTGCGAGCCGCCTTCCGTGCGGGGATCGCCGGCGCTGCGCCGCCGCGTGTCCAGCAGGCGGCGGCCTGGAGAAGCGGCTCGCGCGTGGCCGGTGCTCGGCGCCGGGCAGGGGCGCTTCCGGGGCCGCTTGGGCAGGCGCGTGGTCGGCCTCCCGAGACCTCAGTGAGGCTCCGGGCGCTCCGCTTCGGCGGCTGGCCCGGGAGCCCCAGCTGGGCTAGGCCGCCCGGCGCCGCGGCTGCCTCGCTGCGGGCGCTTTATGCGAGGACCGGAGGCGAGGCCTGGCGCTGGCGGGTCGGCGGAGGGAGGCAGGTGTCTTCGCCGCCCCTCCTCGCTACGGCGGGTTCATGGTCCCCGAAAATGCTAAACGGGAGGCTGGGGGCTCGTGGTGAATCGGGGTCCTGGGGGAGATCCCCCATGGGGTCTTTCGGCATATTTGCGGTGGGGGATGCTGCTGTTCGTAGGCCAACTCACCTGGAGGCTGCAAGTTGAGGCAGGCTGGGCTAGATCCTGAAAGCACCGCAGCTGGTTTGGGTTTTCTGGTCTGCCACAGGGCAGGGGATCCGGCCTTTGTAATCCGCCGTCATCTGAGGAGGGGCACAGATCCACCAGCCCTGGTCTGATCCTGCCACCACCTCTTTTCAGTGAGCAAAGTTGCCAACACAATATTGTTACAGGAGTCAGGGCAGAAGGCCACATCAGCAATCCTTATGCAAAGCAAAGCAGTGTCTATATTTTCAATAACTGGTTATGGATATCTCTCAGCAATGTGTCTTGAGATCTGTATGTAAATTAGAAGTGGGCATGCTGTCTGTCGGGCTTCCGTTCATACCCTGTGCTGCCCCATATGGTATTAAAAAAGCAGAAAATGCTTTTGCACAGTATGGGATAATGAAAGGATATAACTGGACTTTCTAGTGAACCCCATTTTCCACCTACTAACATTGGAAATGGATCCAAGTAATCTGCTTTCCCTGATTCTTTGGCGTCTCAGGCTGCCTGCATGAAATCTTTGCATTTGGCAGAGCTGTTTGCCCCGTTATTGAAACTTTCTCGAATTTACAGTCGAGATGTTTTAAGGTAAGGCAAAATGGAAGGGTCGCTGTACCTGCCCTTTTCAGCAACTAAACAAAGCTTGCAAATTCTCAGAATCAGAGAGAAGCCTGTTCCGCTATCGGAAGCAGTGAGCTGGGTGGTCTCAATTGCGTGGGAGCACTTTCTACTTTACCATGTCCTCGAGCCAGTGGCTGAGACTCCACTTCGTAGGCTTGGCTGCTGACTTCAGGAGACGCAGTTCTCCAGGCCCGTTTGCCAGTGGCTTCCGATGGTGTTCGTTAGGCCAGCTGCAGAACCCGCTTTATTTGCTTTTTATTGCTGAACTTTATTCCCTTAGCTTTGATGGGTCTCTAATCCATCCAAACCGGATGGAACTGGCTTGCTCTTGGGTGCTTCCTTGAGGGCACAGTGTAGGCCAAAAGACGAGGTAAAAATTAACGAAAATGTGGTATGGCTGGACTGCAGCGCCTCTTTGTAGTGGCCCTAAATGATGCTCAGTGGTGTCCACAGAACTGACGGGTTGACACTGAAGATACCTCAGTCGTCTTTAAGCGCCAACTGTCTTTCGGAAATCTTTTGTTTTATTCTGGATCTTTTCCTTTCTGCTCTCCTTTTAGATAGGACAATGCAAGTAGGTGAGTTACTTTCCCTTTTCCTTGGTTCGCCAGTCTGCGTGTGGCAGCGGTGTGTGTGTGTGTCGGGGGTGGGCGTCTCTCTCTCAGGAGGTCCTCTGACCTAGAAAAGGTTTCTGGTGATCTCTTGTGTGGAAATGGTTTGGATGCTTTGCCGAGTCCTCAGGATTCCTGACAAAGAGGACCATGGATGCGCTGTGCCTTGTCCCCACACAGAAAGCTCACTGTAGGGTGTGCAGCCGAGAATTTGGCTAATGGGCTCTCCACAGGGAAGCCGGCAGTGGGATTGTTTGTAGGATGCCCGTTCCCGAGCAAAGCAAAGGGCAGCCACTTAAAGTTTGCATATTCAGCGCTCTGCCAGGTTGGGGGGGGGGGGGGGGGGCAGGCATCTTGCTAACGCTGCAGTGCATGCTTCATCCTGCGATGTGCCCCTGCACCCTCCAGGAATTATTTCTTCTCTCTTTATCTTTCAGATTCAAGAGATTTGTTGAAGGAATTTCCCCAACCTAAAAATTTGCTTAACAGTGTCATTGGAAGAGCCCTGGGAATCTCTCACGCAAGAGACAAGCTGGTATATATCCATACCAATGGGCCACGGAAAAAGGTACCGTCTAGCGAAAGACCCGTGGCTTATGCTGCTCCCTGGGCAAACTGTCAGGTCATTCCCGGCGCCCGTTCCCCTGCTCTTCTGGGGGAGATGAAGGCATGGCTCCGGTTTTCAGATACACTCAGAAGCGCATGAGAATGTGCGGGGCCACTCACTCTGACGACGCTGTGGCACACGGGGATCTGTCGGAGCCATTCTATGGGGAAGCCTTGTTGGGCCAGGAAAGTGGCTTCGTGGTGCCGTGGAGGAGTGGCGTGCAGAGGTGGCCCGAGCCCTGCCCTGCCGTTGCCCGAGGCCCCAGGGTTGGATTTTTGCTACGCGTTCCTTCCCTTCCCTCAGCATGTGTGGGACTCTGTTTTATCTTCAGAAAAACTGTGGGAGGGGGATTAGGCCCACCGGCACCCAGTGGGCTTCATGGCTAAGTGAGAAGGGGAGCTTGGCTCTGTCCCATTCTGACACTCAACCCCTGCCAGATACAGCTTGTGCTGGCTCTCTGAACACTGATGTGCAGCTTCTCTGCGAGAGGAAAAAGACCCACCTGGCGGGGAAAGGAACTTCCCATGAAGCGGAAGAACAAGAAAGGGGAGCTGAGGGGTGGCTGCAGGGTTTGGAGGAAACATGGTCCAGAAGGCCGTGAAGCCAGAGGCAGGTGGATCGGCAAGCAGGGATGGAACTGGCCGTGGACCAAAGCTCGGGTTGATGGGCGCTGTGGGCAAGGAGCCGTGCTCCCTCCTGGCTGTCCGGCTTTCAGCATGCGCGTCGTCTCTGCCTTTCTGTTTCTTTGCCTGTGAAACAGGTCTGAGAATACGCTCCGTGTGAATGTCGGTTCTGAGGGAGAACCTTTCCTTTTTCGCAGAAGGCTCAGGTGATCTGGTTTCCAGATCACCTGAGCCTTCTGCAAAAAAGGAAAGGTAAGTTCTCCGTGGAGTATCCAACACCTTGCTCTTCTTATCCCTCTGCAGAAAGTCACGCTGCTCATCAAGTGGCCAAAAAATGTGGAGGTGGAAGGCTACGGGACCAAAAAGATCGATGCAGAACGCCAGGCTGCCGCGGCTGCTTGCCACCTCTTCAAGGTGACCGCCACCTTTCCCTCCCTTCCCTCTGAGGGGACCCTCGGCTTCCGCTCGGCTCAGGCTTAGCTTCACGGCCAGGGTTTGCTTGTATTTTTTCCGGGACTTTTTAATCTGGACGGAGAAGTGATGGGCGGCATCGTGGTGACTGGTCTTTGGGAGACCCCAGGCTGAGTCCTGTAGCAGAACCGTGCTTGTGGAAGCGCATGTTGTACTTCCCCAGGCGGTTTATGCCAGGACTGCCAGTGGGAGGGAGGGGGGGTTGCTTGAGTCTTTCCTGTCCTCCCTGCAACAGAACCGGAGGACGGGTGTCGTCGTGTGAGCCCTTTCCCTGGCGTTGTTTCTGAGGAGCAGATCCGGGGTGGGGTTAGGTGGCAGGTGCCGGTTTCAGTTCTTGCTGTGCGACCCTTTGGGGTTGGCCAAGCTGCAAATCCAGTAAAAATGGCTGAGCTTCTGCTTCCCGTCTCCTTCCACTGACCTTACGTATGGGACTGTGGCGCAACTCTGAAAGGAAAGAGAAATCCCGCTCCCCTTTTCAGAGTGGCTGTTCAGGAGCAACCTCACTTCCAGGCCAGGCAAGTCGACAGTTCCACGTTCCGTCCACAGCTCTGGGCCAAAAAACACGCATCTCAGGACCACAAGCATCTTCCCCAGTTTTTCTTAAGTGACTCGCAGATGGAGTAACTTGTGCAGGTCCTGGGGTGAGGTGCAGTCTTGGGGATGGTTGGTGCTGTGGCCCAGCACCTGGAGGGCGACCAGATGGGGAAGTGGCTCCTCTCTCCCTGGCACCTGCCTCCCACCCCAGAATTAGAATTGCAGCCCCCTGCCCTTGCACCTGCCATGCCTGGCGCGGCCCTGCCCAGCCCGACCCTGAGCCTGGCCCGGCCTGGCCCTGAGCCGTGCCCTGCCGTGACCCTGCCCGGCCCTGAGCCCTGCCGGCTCCGCGTTGCTCTTGGGTGACATTTGCAGCACTTCTCGGCGAGCGGGAGACCGGCCCTGGCAGGCTAGCAGAGGGCTTGCCCCAGCGTGCCAGGACTGCCTCTTCGTTCCCTGGGGTCCCTGGGTAGAAGAGGTGGGAGGGGGCCTTTTGGCTGAAAGTCTGGGAGCGTCCCGGCCAGTCAGAAGACACGGTCCTGGGCCGGGGGGCCAGTGGGCTGGTCCAGCAGAGGGCAGCGTCCCGTGAGCACAGCAGCAAACCTTTGTGGCTGCCCGTGAGACAGACGTGGGCCTGGGTGGCAAGCCCCGTGCGCCGAGGGTGAGGCGGGGGCGGAGGCGAGCAGAGAGCGGGCGCCGCTGCAGAGGGGTGAGGCGCTACGAGGCGCTTTGGACACGGCTTTCTGCCTGGCTGGCTTGGTGCCGGATGCCGGAAATGCCCGTTTGCCCCTTTGCCGCCCCAGCAGTGCTGACCGCCTGCCTTCCCCCCCGCCAGGGCTGGGGCTTGCTGGGCCCCCGGAACGAGCTCTTCGACGCTGCCAAGTACCGCATCCTTGCCGAGCAGCTGGGCTGCCCCGACGAGAGGTGGTGCTCGGAGGGCAGGTGGCGCTCCAAGTCCGGGCCGTCTCTGGCCGACCTCTCCACCTGCTGGCGGCGGATGGAGCCCGATGAGGCCATCCAGCCCCTGGAGCACAACCGGCCGCCGAAACCCATCCGGAAGGAGGAGCTGGAGGAGGGGGAGCTGGAGGAGGGAGAGCTGGAGGAGGGGGAGCTGGAGGAGGACACCATCGACGTTTCGGACTACCTCTCCATGACCCATTCGGAGCCCCGCACCCCCCCCAGGGACACGAGGTAGAGCTTTGGTCGCCGTAGGACCACAGCCGCGCGTGGTTTCTCCTCCCCAGCAGGCCTCCGTGGCATCTTGGTGTCCTGCTTCCGGGGAAGCCTGGGCCCAGAATGACAGGGCACTGCCCCTCGTGACCAGCGCACATCCGGCCGAGCCCTGTGGGGCGAGACATTGCCAGTCCCCGGTTCAGCCACGGCTGCGGTTCCCGCCTTTTAGCCTTCCGCCGCCACAGCAGTCCCTTGCTGTGCGTGGCTGTGTGGCGCGCTGCCCGCTGGGGGCCACCCGGAGTGTGGCGGGGAGGGGAACTGATCCAGGTCCCCGGCGCGTGGCGGAGACGCACGCCCTCCCTCTGCCGCTCGTGGTGCTGCGCGCGCAGCCTCCGCCTCGGGGCCTGACGCTCCCTGCGGGTGGAGCTCTGGAGTGCCCCGGGGGTTCCAAGGCCAGTGTGATGCGAGCAGGCCGGAGCAGCGCGAGGCGGCCCTGCCTGCGGGGCGCGAGGGGCCCGTGCGGGTTGCCCTGCTGCCGATCCGCGTCCAGCACCTGCGTCGCGCAAATGTGTGTCCCCACAGAGGCGGAAGGCTCTCCCAGCTGAGCTGCTGAGCAAACGTGGCCACCTGTGGCTGGGGAGGGAGCACGGGGCTGCGCGTTGGGCCCGCCCCGCTCGGGCCTCCCGCTCACATTCCTCTGGCTCCGAGGGTCTCTGACTGGTGCGCCGGGCCGTCCTCAGAACGCTCCCCGAGCCGAGCCGGGCTGCTTGCGACGAAGCAAGCGGCCCGCCCCTGCCGTGCGCTGCAGCTGCGGGCTGTGCCGGCGTGGGGGTGGGCGCGGCTGCCCCCAGGGCCCTGTGCCACAGCATGTAAAATGGCTGCGTTCCTTCTCTCGCGGGCTGCAGGGATGGGTTCTCCGTGGACATGACGGATGACAACACGGCCCTCCGGGCTCTGACCCAGTTTCCGCTGCCCAAGAACCTCCTGGCGCAGGTGATCCAGATTGCCACGTCTTCATCGACCGTCAAGGTGAGCTGCCCCAGGAATGGGCCACCGTGTCTGCCGACCTGCTGGGGGGGCTTAAAATGCCCGCGGGAGTGTGGGGCAGCCTGCCGCGCCCCGAGCGAGGAGCACGCGGGCAGTCCCGAGGCGATGGGCGGCCTGACGCGCAGATCGAGCTGCCAGGCTCTGGTACCCGAGGAGGCCCGGTCGACCGAGGGCTCCAGGCCCCTTGCCGGGGTGGGCAGCCCTGTGGCCCTCACATGTCTTGGCAGCTGCCTGCCTGTCATCCCCAGGGCTGGCGAGAGCCAACGGGAGCTGCAGGCCAACACACCTGGGGGGCCCCCTGCCCACCCTCGCCTTAGGCCGAGGAGCAAGGCAGTGCACAGAAAGCGGAGTCACGCGCCTGTGGCTGCTCCCCTCGAGGTGTCCTTGGAAAAACCATCCGGCAGCCTCCTCAGGGCCTGTTCTGCACGGCTTCCTTGGAAGAGGCCTCGGAAACGGTCGCTCGCCTCTAGCCTGCCAGCGCCAGGCTGCTCCCGGGACAGGTGCCTTGCGGACTCTGGCACGGTTGGGGTCTATGGACCAGCCTCGCCCATCTGGAGGACCCGACTCCCAGAATCCCCCAGCCGACCTGGGATTCTGGGAGTGCTGGGCCCGTGCGCTGGCGGACGCCAGGCTGAGGAAGGGTGCTTGCTCCGGGGGGGGGGGGGGGCTGCTCAGCAGCCACAGTTCACCTCCGGGCCCCGTGCCCTGCGTGTCGGCCTTTGGGGCTGGCCTCCCGGCTGGGCCGCTGCGGAGAGGAGCAGGCATGCCCCGCGAGGGCCCTGTCCCAACCCTCCTGCCCCTCCCCTGCCAGGAGTACATGCAGTTCCGCACGGTGGGCACCAAGACCAAGCTGTGCAAGCTGACGCTGCGCTGGCCCTGCCCCATGACCTTCGCCGCCAAAGGCCGCCGCAAGGTGGAGGCCGAGAACAAGGCCGCCGCTCTGGCCTGCCAGAAGCTGAAGGTGAGTCCCCGGCCGGGAGCAGGAGCGCGACGGCAGGCAGGCAGGCTGTGGCTGCACCCTCAGGGCCCGGGGAGGCGTCTGCTGCTGGGCCTCCCATTCACACCTTCGCTCGCTTCGTGCCCGTCCAGAGTCCGAAGTGGCATGGGGACCCATCCCTGTGAGGTGCGCTTGGCTGAGTGGCGTTGACTGGGCCATCCATCATCCCCGTGGGCTTCCGGAAGCCCAGCATCCTGAACCCTTGCCTGGTGCTCGGAGGGCAGCACTGCTGCCGCTCTCGCAGGCAGAGGGCTGCTGGCAGCTGGGCTGAGACATGCCCCTCCCAAGCCAGAGGTCCCCGAGGCCCCCCAGATCCTGAAATTTTCTACCAGGATGTACCCAGAGGGGCTCCCAACGTATGCAAAGCACAGATTCAGTGTAAAAATTGAAATGACTGAATGATAGATTATGTGAATGGCTGGATCACGCACTAAAAGGAATCCACACCTTGTTAGATGAACCGTGAAAACAAGCTAACCTGATCCAGCAGCCCAGCCTTCCCCAACGTGGTGCCCTCCGCATGCACTGGCCTGGAGCTCCCATCTTCCCTAGCCGACATGGCCATGGGAATTGCAGTCCGAGGGACCACCAGGTTGGACGAGGCTAGCTTAGAACGAGCAGGGAAGGGAACGGACCCTGCGGTGACAGCAGGAATGTCCTGCTTCCCGCAGGCAGCCTGGATTCTCCGCAACTGCCCTGCAGGTTGGTGGGCAGGCACGGGTCCCCTTCGTGACTGCCTCCCTTCTGGCTCTCCCCTGAGGCCTCCCTTGGGCCCCACTCGGGTTCTCCGCTGCACCCCCCTCCTGCGAGCCCACGCTCTCTGGGCAAGCTCTTCTCAGGCTTCCGGATGGGGAGCAAGGCAGGCTGCCCACGCCGGAGCCGCTGGTCTCTCTGCAGATGTCCCCCCCACCGGAGCGGCTCCCCTGGCGTGGGCAGCCCCATCCGCCCCACCCCGCCCCGCCTGCCTGGCCCTGCATGTGTCCCCGGAGGCCCTTCTGCCTTCCACCCTCACTCTTGCTCGCTGCCTCCCTCCCAGAGCCTCGGCCTGGTGGACAAGAACAACAACCCTCTGAGCCACGCCATGTACAACATGACGTCCCTCCGGGAGCTGGGCGAGAACCAGAGGAAGCCCTGCCACATCAAGGTGCCGGAGGCCACGCTGCGCAAGATCGAGAACTACCTGAACCACGTAAGCCTCCCCGGCCAGAGCAAGCCGAGGCACACCGAGGGCGCACGCGTGCGTGGAAGGCCCTTTGCCCCCATCCTGCAGGACAGGTCGGGGAGATCTTGCGCGGGCCACTCCTGGCCTGTCGCTTCCTCTCCTGCTCGGCTGTTGCGATGTTACGGGATGTTTGTAAACACTCCGACTGCTTGGGCTGAGTGTCGTATTGACTAATAGCACAACTTCTGTGAGGGAAACAAAAGGGCCGCTTGGAACCCACATTTCGGGTTGAGCACAGCCTTCCACAGGCCCTGGGGAGGAAGAGCCCTCAGGCGCCTGGGGGGAATGGAATGGGGTGCCTGCCTCCAGGCAGGGAAGCCTTGGCGCACTCTGGAATGGGAGCCCTCCCCTGGTCCCGTTGATTTGAATTCTGCCAGACAAGCACTTGGCCCCATCTGTCAGCGCCCAAACCTCCAAAGCACCTCCCTTTTCCACACTGAGCACCGCCTCCTGCGCTTTCCCATCGTCCTCGGCCGCGAGTTGCGCATTGCTTTATTGATATTAGGCTCCCTGTGGCCACAGCATCTCGGTGGAGAGCAGGTCGCCCCGGGTCCGTTCTCCGTCAAGTCCGTTCTCCCGTTAGAAATGAGGTTTGACTTCTGCCCGGTGTGCTAAACGTGGAAGAGGAGGCCGTTCTAGCGAAAGTCGTCGAGTGGGTTGGGAACAGGGCAGTGCGGCTGCGGCCCAGGGCACCCCAGACTCTCCCCACAAAAGCGAATTTGCCCCCGAGGGACCCTGGGAACCAAGGGGTTCCATGAAGCCAGGCTGCGTGCTCTGAGCGGAGTGGGAGTGGGCGGCAGAGGTGCGATGTGCGAGCGACGCCTCACACTGACGACCCACTGCTGCTGCTCCTCCTCCTCCTCAGTTCCCCGTGGACACCCGGGAGTCCAGGCCGCGGCTGGCAGAGGACATGATGACCCTGAACAAGGAGACGGGGGCCATCAGCGACGCCATCACGGGCAGGACCTACATCCCCATGTCCGAGCCGGAGGAGGTGCGCCTCAGCCAGAACCTCCTGGCCCTCTGGAAGAGGAGGGGCGCCGCGTGGCAGGAGAGCCACCCCCTCCCGGTGGACTCCCACAAGGAGGCGATCCTCTCGGCCGTGGAGCAGCACCCGGTGGTGGTGATAGCCGGGGACACGGGCTGCGGCAAGACCACCCGCATCCCGCAGCTGATCCTGGAGCACTGCATCCTGGAAGGACGCGGTGCCCAGTGCAACATGGTCATCACGCAGCCACGGCGGATCAGCGCCATCTCCGTGGCCCAGCGGGTGGCCCAGGAGCTGGGCCCCAACATGCGGAAGAACGTGGGCTACCAGGTGCGGCTGGAGAGCAAGCCCCCCGCCCGCGGGGGAGCCCTGCTCTTCTGCACCGTGGGCATCCTCCTGCGGAAGCTGCAGGGCAACCCCCGCCTGGAGGGGGTGAGCCACGTCGTGGTGGACGAGGTGCACGAGCGCGACGTCAACACCGACTTCCTGCTCATCCTGCTCAAGGGGGTGCAGAAGCAGAACCCCAACCTGCGGCTGGTGCTGATGAGTGCCACGGGGGACAACCAGCGCTTCTCCCAGTACTTTGGGGACTGCCCGGTGGTCAAGGTGCCGGGCTTCATGTATCCCGTCAAGGAGTACTACCTGGAGGAGATCCTGGCCATGCTGGGGCGCCACAGGCACCGGCACTACGAGATCAAGGTGAGCGGCCCTCCACCTGGGCTGTGGGGAGGGGCACATGTCCAGCTTCCCTCGAGCGCTGCGGGGGACGCTCCCTGCCGCACCGGGGTCACCCTAGAGCAGGAGCTGCAAAACACGGGCCCCTGCTCCAGACCCGGGGCTGGGGTGGGCACAGATCTGTGGGGCAGCACCTGCTTTGCAGAGCCAGGAAGACCTTGCTGGACTTCTGGAGGGCCACCCGTGCTGGTGAGTGCCGAGAGCACTGGGCCAGGGAGCCCCCCCCCCCCCGGCTTGGCTCAGGGCAGCTTCCAGCGCTCCCAGTGGAGTCCCGCTGGCCATTCACTTCCCCTCAGCAGGGATTAATTTGCCTCCAGACGTCAAGCGAGGGAGACACTCTGGCGTTTCTGGCAGGCAGCCATCTCAATTTTCATTTGAAGATGGAACAGGAAGAGAAGGTGCTGGCCCTGCTGGCCGCTCACTGTGTGTTGGCAGTGCTGAGATTTCAGAGGCGGGAAATGGGACTTTCGAGACCTCCCTGCTCTGCGGGCTCCCTTTGCCAGAATAAGATACGCCATAACGTTCTAGAACGGACTCTGCAGCGCAAGAGAACGAAGCATCCGGGCTGCAGAGCTGCGGTTTCCTGGTCCCGCCTGAATTGGCTCGATGTGGGGCACTCTCTCTCTCCAAGCGTAGCTCGCACACAGGCCCGGCGCTCGCTGGTCAGTGGGGCCTTTTCAGCAAAGGCCAAGAACCTGCTGGGCCAAGCCAGAGGCGTGCCGGACACCTTCCGGTTCTGCTCACGGGCTTCCTGACTGCCACAGCCCTCTGGCCACGGCCCCAGTGGCGCGCACCTTCTGCTCTCGCTCCCCACCTGTCCCAGCCACAGAGCCTTGCAGCTCAGTGGTACAGAAATTACATAGCGGGGGAAGGAGGGCACGAACCGGGGCTAAGAAACCACCCATAGGCCACTCTGAACTGCAGTGCCCTCTAATCGTGTCCCGTGACAGCAGACCCAGAATCCGTGGCCCATCCGTGAGTCTAGAGGAGCCCGAGTCGTGGCACTGCCGGGGGTGGAGAAAAGGGCCCGCCCCACGGTCTCCTCTCCGCTGTCGTTCCAAGGGCCGGACGCTCTTGCTTGCTCACGCCTTTGAGCCTCATTCCGACTTTGGGAGGAGAAGCAAGTCTCTTGCCACGGGCGAGGCCCCCTGGGTTAGGGGCTGCAGGGGGCTTCCAGAGCAGGGGTTGCTCCGGCATTGCCGCTGCTGAGGCCCCCCTGGAGCTCCTCTCCGCGTGGGTGGGCCTGGCGCGTGGGCGCTCTTGCGGGGCCTCCGCTTCCCGGGCGCTCACACGCCCCCCTTTACCCCTCAGCAATCGGACGAGGAGTGCGTGCTGGACTTGGAGCTGATGACGGACCTCATCCTCCAGATAGACGTGCACGGAGAGCCAGGTAGGTGGGGCGGCAGCGGGGCTCGGGCCGCCTCCAGCCCCCATCCTCCCCCACCTTCGCCTGCGAGCCGGCTGGGCCGGCCCCCGGGGGAGGCCCCACTCAGAGGAGGCACCCAGGCCGCGGGTGGCCCCGTTCCGGAGTGCGTTGAGGACAGAGCAGGCTGGAAAACAGGCATCTGAAGGCCAGGCTGGAGGGGCAGGGAATCGCACGGCGCAGAATTCGCGGTAGCGCAGCGTACAGCCCTGAAAGACCACAAGCAAAAGACTAATATAGAGTCTCCCAAAATCTGCAGTACAACCAATCATGAGCAGCCTAAGAATGTCAGACCGAACCTGCAAAGATTTTTTTTTTAAACCCGGGAGACGGCACTACCACAACAAGAAAAAAGCAAAGTACTCAGTCTTTATATGCAAAACTTGAGTTGAAGGTAAACTAAACTATTCTCTTTCCTTCGTGGATGTGTGTTGGCATTCTTAGGCTGCTGGTGGCTGCTTTTTAATATTGAAACATTTGATTTACTCTGCTACAGATAACAATGACCTACATGGTTTTATTATTTGGGTGTTACTGTATGTAATTACATAATTAAAGATCTTGTGTAGCATAAAAATATTTTTCCTTGTTGAAAAATATTTTGTGCTTTTCGAGGGGGTTGTCTTTGGGTCTGGGTTTGGATTGTTTTGCTGTAAGTACCGATCCAAGCCAGAAAAACGATGGCCCAGAAGCCAAGCGTCAAGGTAAAGTCAGTTCACTTTACCTGGATAAGGGCTGGGAAACTGGCCAAGTGCTTGGCGGTCTGGCAATAACCAGCAGGTTGGCAGGGAGCAGAAAGAGGCGTAGGCTTTGTTATCAGCTGCCCAGAGAGCTTGGCTGTGGAGTGGTGTGGAAATGAAATAGTCGCCCGTCGTCGTCACTGTGATATTCGTAGCGTCACAAATTTCTTATTCAGAGCATCACTCATCCCTGGAAGAAGCCAAGCACGGCACTGCAGCCCCTCTTCCGCGTGGGCTCGACAGGAGGCCGGGCGCCCTGGGGCTGCCCAGAGGGACAGAAGGGTGGCTTGGCCTCGGGGCAGGGCAGAGCGCCCTGTCCGGCCACTGGTGGAACATGGGCAGCCTTCCGGGCAGTCGGGCGGGATCTCGATGCACAGACGAGCGCCCGCGATCTCTGAGGGGGCCCGCTCAGCCTCCGGGAAGGGGGCGGGCCGGCGGAGCAGCCACAGCGAGGCCCCCTCTTCCCCTTGCCTCTTGCAGGTGGCATCCTCTGCTTCCTCCCCGGCTGGCAGGAGATCAAAGGAGTCCAGCAGCGCCTCTTGGAGTCCCTCGGGCCTCACAACAGCCGCTACCTTGTCTTGCCAGGTGGGCCGGCCCTGGCCGTTCTCCTGGGCCGCTGGGGGTGTTGCGGGGGGGAGGGGAGGGGAGGGAATTGGCCCGCACTGGCAGAGGAGTGGTTGTGATCCGCTTCTCCCAGTGTGGCAGCTTGCCTGGGAATACCAGGATTGAGGATCCTGGACTGTGGGGGGGCTCCTGCGTTGGCTCAGGGAAGCCCCGGAATGTACTGATGCTCCCGTCGGACAGGACAGAGACGGGCGCTGACACTCGCTTCTCCCCCCGTCAGTTCATTCCAACATCCCAATGATGGACCAGCAAAGCATCTTCCCGCGCCCTCCCCCCGGCGTGCGGAAGATCGTCTTGGCCACCAACATCGCCGAGACCTCCATCACCATCAACGACATCGTTCACGTGGTGGACAGTGGGACCCACAAGGAGGAGCGCTACGACCTCCGGACCAAGGTCAGCAGGCCGGCGGCCTCCCCCCCCCCCCACCGGGAGCCGTCCTGCCCCCGCCCATGGCTCCCGGGGGCCCCAGCCTTCAGCGGGCGGGTTCTGGGCAGCACCAGGGATCCGCGGGAGCCAGCGGGGGTCCGTAATGGCTGGGGCTTGGGCAGCTTGGCGTCCGCCTTCTGAGCGCGCTCCGTCCCGTGCCAGACGCTGGTGCAGCGGTGCCGTGGGACGGCCTCCCCGGCTCCGTGCGTGTCGGGCTGTGGCTGCACGGAGAGCAGCAGCGGGACAGATGTCCGTTCGCCTGGGGGGGGGGGGCCATGCGGACCGGCTTCCCCGCACGGCACAGGCTGTTTCCAGAGACACGCTGCCCACAGCGGCTTGTTGGGCTCCTGACCGAGCTTCGCTGCCGAGGGCGAACGCAGCCGGGCACAGCGGCGGGGGTCCCGGGCTGCCCCGTGCCCGAGGGCGGGCGGGCTCTGTGCAAGGGGAGGGGCAGCTGGCCCCTCGAGGCAAGAGGCTCCCCGCCCCAGGGAGGGCAGCGCGCAGAGGCGCCTGGGCGCCGTTTCCCACCTGCCCGGCCGCGTCTTCTGCCTGTGCTCCGGCCGGGTGCAGCGCGCCACCCGCGGCGTTGGAGCCCCGTCGCCGGGCCGGGCGCGACGCTTCCCCTGGCACGGGCGGCGCTGGGCGGGACTGCCACTGCCTCTCTCCGCAGGTCTCGTGCCTGGAGACCGTGTGGGTGTCCAAGTCGAACGTCATCCAGAGGCGAGGGCGCGCCGGGCGCTGCCAGTCCGGCTTTGCCTACCACCTCTTCCCTCGCAGCCGCCTGGACAGGATGCCCACCTTCCAAGTGCCTGAAATCCTCCGCACCCCCCTGGAGAACCTGGTGGTTCAGGCCAAGATCCACATGCCGGAGAAGACGGTAGGTGGAGCCCTCGGGCAGGGGCAGCGGGCTGCTCGCAGCCTTGGCCTTCCCTTCTTGGCTTCTTCCCACAAGCAGCCGGGAGACCTGGGCGTCCGTCACCGGCACACCACGCGCTCCCTGGCGTGGCCCTGAGGAGGGGCTCAGGCAGAGCTCCCGGCCATCCCGGCGTCGCTGCGATGGCCGGGCGGCGTGCTGCATTCACGTAAAGGAGCTAAGGAGCAGACACAGGCCTGCCTGCTAGATCCGTGCCTTTTTCTTTCCATTCCGCCCCGCTCCTGCCTTGGATCATGCCAGCAGAGCCAGAGCTGTATGTGGGTGACTGCAGACCGGCCGCCCTCCCGTACGGAACAGCCGGCTTCCTTCCGGCTGTGTCTGCTGTGGACTTAGAGCCCCCCTGGATCAAGGACTTGGTTCCCGAGCTTCAGGGCTCTGCCTGGATGGGTTGCCAGGCCGCGCGAGAGGAAGGAGTGCTGGGAACCCGAACGGGGACCTCCGAACGCCTCCCGGGGACTCGGATGCCCCTCCCCAGGTTGACCTTCCTGCTCTTGGTCACAGGCGGTGGAATTCCTCTCCAAAGCCCTGGACAGCCCAGACATCAAGGCGGTGGACGAGGCGGTGATCCTCCTGCAGGAAATCGGTGAGTCCCAGCAGGCCGGCCCGGCCACGCAGGCGCCGTCCCGTCCGCCGGGGGCCGCCGCCAAAGCAGAGCGCGGCAGCCGTGCCGTGCCGCGCCGCCCCGGCCAGCGTGCCCCTCAGGCCTGCCGCACAGGCCGGCCCCGCTGACGCCGAGGCCCTTTGCAGGGGTGCTGGACCACCGGGAGGCGCTGACCATGCTGGGGAAGCGCCTCGCCCAGATCTCCACGGACCCCCGGCTGGCCAAGGCTATCGTGGTGGCCTCCATCTACCGCTGCATCCAGCCGCTCCTGGTCATTGTCTCCTGCCTCACCCGCGACCCGTTCAGCAGCAGCCTGCAGAACCGCACCGAGGTGGACAAGGTGAGGCACGCCGGCCCGGCGGGGGGCCCGGGGGGGCGGCCCGCTGAGCCCTGAGCGCGACTCCTCTGCCCTAGGCCAAGGCCATCCTGAGCCGGGAGAGCGGCAGCGACCACCTGGCCTTCGTGCGGGCCGTGGCCGGCTGGGAGGACGTGCTGCGGCGCCGGGACAGCCGTGCCCGCGACAACTACCTGCAGGACTACCTCCTCTACGCGCCCAGCCTGCGCTTCATCAACGGTGAGGCCCGGGGAGCGGCTCCACCCGTGGGCGGCCCTCGCGCCCTCCGCCGGCCTGGCCTGGCCGGGCCGGGCCGGGCCGGGCCGGGCCGTGGAAGCTGCACGCCGGAGGCCGGTTTCAGCAGGGCGCTGCTGTGGACTGAGGCCAGCGCCTGGGAATGATGGGCGTTGCAGTCGCACACACCTGGAGGGCGCTAGCCTGGGGAGGACTCGCGCCCGCCAACGCCCTTGCCCCCAGTGCATGCGAGGACTGGCCTCCCTCGACCCCCCAAGCCCCCCGCCCCGTTCTGTTCGTTAGCAAGGAAGCCGCCACAGTGGGCCGCTCTGCGGGCGAGTTCGCCTTCGGGCAGGAGCCCCGCCAGAGCGGCCTGGTCCAGGCCTGCCTGCTTTTCGGTCCCCTGCTGAGGGACTGGCACCCGCTGCTTTTCCTTTAATAGGCGAAACGACTCAGGGCCAGATTCGGTGGCCTTCCGCATCGTGTGTTCAGTGTTTAAGCAGCCTGCAGGAGTGCTGCCTGGCACCCCTTTTAGAAGCAGGGGTGCAGGAGGGGTCTCCGCCTGAGGCCTGAACTCCAGTTCAGGGGAGGTCTTCGGGTGGCTCCCCAGCAGGAGGGATGGCCAAAGGCAAAGGGGAGCCCAGAGCATCAGCCTCTTGTCGCCCAAAGTGGGCCTTGTGGAGCTAGAAGGAGGGCAGGTCGCGGCAGGCCGAGTGGTCCCGGGGCCGGAGCGCTTCCCGCAAGAGGAGAGGTTGCAGCTCGGGTGGCCAAGTTGAGAGCCGAGGCAGGCGTGACCCGGGGCTCGGAGGCGGCTGGTGTGGCGGAGGCGGCGGGGGGGGGGGCGTCTCTCTCCGCATGCGGGAACCCGGGGGGGCGCCCCACAGAGCAGGCTGGTGGGAGGCGCAGGGCAGTTCAGCGGAAGGCCGTCTTCGCGCGAGTAGAGCAGCGGACAAGACGAGGAAGGGCCCTGGGTCGGCAGGCCAAGTGCGTGGAGGAGAAGGCAGCACGCGCCTCCTGGGCCTTGTGGCCGCGTCGGAGGTGGCGCATGCCAGGGCGGGGGGCGCTGGCGATCCCCGCGCAGGATGCTGGCCCGGGGGGGGCCCAGCCTAGCCCTCCTTCCGCACTGAGAAGCGGGGAGGAAAGCGCAGGGCCCCTCTGCTCACACAGGGGCTTGCAAAGGCCCCGCTGCAGCCGCCGCCACGTTTCCCAGCGTGCCCGGCATCTCCCTTCCGAGTGTGGCGCCGGGCGTACGCAGTGCATGGGTGTGGGCTGGGCGCGCTCGTTCTCGCTCTGACCCTCCCCTCCGCCTCGGCAGGCCTCGTGAAACAGTTCTCCGAAAACCTCTATGAGGCCTACCTGGTGCCCACCCCCTCGGACTGCCTCTTGCCTTCCTCCGTGTGCAACCAGTACAGCGAGGAAGAGGAGCTGGTGAAGGGCGTCCTCATGGCCGGGCTGTACCCCAACCTCATCCAGGTAGGAGTGCCGCCCTCACAGTGCAGCTGACGGCACGGCCTCTTGCGGATGGGCCCCGGTGCAGCCTCGCCCTCCCAGCGGGGCTGAGTCCCCTCCCGGCATTGGGCTGCTCCCCGGGCCGGTGCAGGCCGGGGAGGGCGACTGCTCGACACGCCCGGAACCGGCAGGAAGCTTTCTCCTCTCGTGCCGCATGGGGCCCCCAGCTGCGGGAGAGCCAGGGGCCCGGTCCCTGCAAGCAGGTGGGGGAGGCGCGAAGCTTGTGAGGGCAGGAAGCACAGCCGGGTGCCGTCTTGCCTTCCGTGCGGCTGCAGCGCCCTCCCCGGCGGAAGACCTGTGGCATGAGGGCTGCGTTCCTCTTGGCCCCAGGCACCCGCGGCGCTGCCCTGTGGGTCCTGTGATCCCACTGGCACTCTCCCCCAGCCTCCCTTGTGGGGGGGCCTTGCCCAGGCTCACGGACACTGTTTTCCCTCTCTCGCCCCCCCACCTCAGGTGCGGCAAGGCAAAGTGACCAGGCAGGGCAAATTCAAGCCCAACAGCTACACCTACCGGACCAAGGCCGGGACCGTCCTCCTGCACAAGTCCACGATAAACAGGTGAGGGCCGGGCCGGGCCGGGCCAGAGCTGGGGCCGGGGCGTGGGGGGCCAGGCTCAGGACAGCCCCTGTCCTCTCCCCGCAGGGAGGCGTCGAAGCTCTACAGCCGCTGGCTGACGTACTTCATGGCGGTCAAGTCGAACGGAGGGGTGTTCGTGCGCGACTCCTCGCAGGTGCACCCGCTGGCCGTGCTGCTCATGACCGACACGGACATCCACGTGCGCGGTGAGTGTGGCCGCCAGCAGCCCCCTCCCCGGCCCGGCGTCCGGGGTCCGGCTGCGCCGCTGCCCTGCCAACGTCTCCCTGGCTCGGGCCAGCCCCAGCGGCCCGCCAGGAGCTCGCACGGCAGTGCGCGCACCCTCTGGGTGGACTCCTCCCCACGCGGCGCTTCAGCCGCTCTGGCGCTCCCCGAGGTCGGGTGACCGGGCGGTGCTCCTCCTCGCTCCGGGGGCAGGTGCCCCCTCGAGCCGTGTCGTGAGCCGGCACACGCTGCCCACCCTGGTCAGCAGCCTGCCTGGAAGGGGCTTGCGGACCCTCCCCACGGGAGGAGGCACTCGGGACGCAGTTCGGGGGTATCTGCCGGGACTTCCGCCTAGCGTCCCGCAGGGCGTCGGGCCAGTGGCTCCCTTGGCCCCTTCCAGTTCTGCCGCTTGGTGGAGCTTTGGCTCTCTGTGTCGGGACGGTTGCTGGGCTGTCCTCGCAAGCGCTTGGCACAGCGTGGGGAGCACAGTGGGGGGGGCGTTGTCCTGGGGCCGCAGGACGTGGTGGAGGGCTGCGGAGCGCTCCCACGCCCCGGAGCGTTTGGCCTCCGCGCTGAGCGCGAGCAGGGAGCCGCTCTCCTCAGGCAGCACGGGCCTCGGCCCGGGGGAGGAGATGGCCCCCATGGCCGACTGCGCCCCGCAAGGAAGGGCTCCCCCTCGCCCCGCAGCACACGGGGCTCTCCCGTGACGGAGCACGTGGCAGGAGGGCGCAAGCGTCGCGGTCCGAGGGCCACGCTCTCCCTGGAGAAGCTCTCGGGGGAGCGTTCCAGGGACAGGCATGGCCAACGGCCGAAGCAGCAGGGCAAGAGTACCCATGTGCCTTAGCTTGAGGCTCTTGTGGCCGGGAGCTAAGCCTTCAGGAGGCCTTCAGGGCGGGGGGAGGCGGCGTCTGGAAATCTGCGAGAGCACCAACCAGGCAGGGCCCCGGAGGGCTGGACCGGCCCCCCGGAGCTGAGGTTTCGCAGCCTGATGCACAGGAAGCTGAGGTGGCTGAGTGGAAGGGTTGGCTGGTTAGGGGAACTTCACGAGATCCTGAAGAAATAAACCGCAAGGGGCGTTCCCGTCCACCCCACCCAGCCTTTACCCAGAAGAAGGTGAGTGTCTTGCTGGAGACGGGATCCCGTCAGATGCTGCTGTCCTGTTTCCCGGCCGGGCGGGAGAGCAGCCTGAGCCTTCTGCTGCTGATCTCTCTCGTGGCCTCTGGATGTGCACGTTGTGCCCCGGGCTCCCGAGGCCGGGGTGGTCTTCCTCGAGGGTTGGGCGGCAGGACAGCCCGCCCTCGTGCAGGAGCCCTCCCGGGCTCCGGCCATCTTCCAGCAGTGGCTCAAGTCCTCAGGCCGAGACGTGGCAGGAGGCAGATCTCCTGATGCGTTGGACCTCGGGAGCCTTGGAGATCTGCCTCCTGCCCACCTGGCCACTGACGCGAGTCTGCCGGGAGCGCTGTAGATCACTGTGGTGGTTCCCAGAAGGCCACTCGCCCTCCGCTCCGTGGGACAGGGGCCGGCCCGGGCAGCGCCTGCCTCCCCCCTGAGCTTGTCGTTCTCTTCTCCCCAAGATGACGGCTGGCGAGCGACCGTCTCACTCGCGGACAGTGACCTCCTCGTGCTGGAGGGGGACTCGTACACCATCCGGCTCCTGCGGGACTTCCGTGTGGCCCTCTCCCGGATGGTGGAGACGTGTCTTTGCTACGAGATGGCGGCCATCCCCGGAGACCTTCACCACCAGCACAGCCAGCTCCTGGATATCTTAGTCGACCTCCTCAAAGGGCCCCCAGGCAGCTTTGGAGCCTAGTTCTGGCAGCAGCCCAGGATTCGGACATGGGGACTTGTAATTTGTACAAAGAGTTGACAAAATGTTTATTTAAATAAAGTTCTATTTATCCCTTGTGACATCATCTCTCTCCGTCCCAGAAGAGTCCCTGCACCCGTCCTCCTGTTGGCGTTGGGTTGCCACCATGTTGGGGGAGCACCAGCTGCCACCGCAAGCGGAGGAGGAGGACGGGAATGGCCCACGGCGAGGCCCACGGACAGCGTTGCCCCCACCTGCACGGGCTCCGCGTGCCGGGATGGATTTCTTGCTGCCTGCACGGAGGAGCGGAGGCCGCGTCCCCACCAAGGGCTGCTGCGTCTGAACAGATCTCCAGCTTCGGGAGAGGAGAGGCAGAGGCCGGCCGCACGTTTGCAGCAGCGAGTGCCGCGTTGGAGGGGGACACCCCCAGGCCCCCTTGGCCGCCAGAGAATGAGCGCTGCTCTCCCGCCTCCGCGGGGCCTGTAGGGACTTCCGTCGTGCGTCTTAGAGCAATAGAGACCCCACTCCGTTCTAGTCCAGCGAGTCCTGGCGCCGAGGGCCCCCAGCCCTGCAGGAACCCGAGATGGACTTGTCCTCTCCGCTCACGGGAGCGGCCCCTTTGCTAGGCTGAGCACGGGAGGAGGCCGCGTGCCCCCTCGTGCCGCAGGAGTGAGAGGGGGCCCTGGCCCACGGGTGTCTCTGGGGGGCTCTGGACGGAGCCGTGCAGGACGCTGCGGGTGCAAGGCGCAGCTCCGTTTCTGGGGCGGCTTCTTTCCCTCGAGCGAGGCCAGGCCTGGGGACCAGAACGCCGGAGCGGAGCGCAGCGAGGGCCGAGACAGCTCCTGACCGCCCTGCGCTCTCCAGAAGTTTGGACTGCAACTCCTGGCGTTCCCCAGCCCGCACGGAGCGAGGCCTGCCCGGGAGAATGGCTGCACTGCTCCCCCCTGAGAGACCAGCTGGGCGGCGCTCACATGGGGTGCTGCTTTCGCCAGCCAACCTGATCAGTTGCGGGGGTTTTTGCTTTCGTTCGGCAGCCCGCCTTCCGGCCCCCCACTCCGGGGCCTCGCGATTTCCCCAGCGGGCCCTTGCCGGCCAGCGTCTTGGCCTCAGCTGCTCCACCTTCCCAAAGGTGCTGCCTGTATCCTCTTGATGTGTGACATACCTGGGACAGCAGCAGGCAGCTGGACCAGGTGTACCTCGGGCTGGTCCTCCCGCTTCCAGACAGCTGGGCCAGGTGGACCTCGGCCTGGTCCGGCAGGGGGCTTCAGTGCGGAGCAGCGCCTTTCAGCAGGAGGCGACCGCACTAAGCCCAGCTGGGTCTTCCTCCAGCGTCTTCTTGACACCAGGCCTGAACAAGGCGTGGTGGGAAGAAGCCCGCCCTGGCTCTCGAGTCTCGCATCCGCACACTCCCCTCCGTCTCGGACGCGGTGCGCTTCCTTTCAGAAACGAGGGGTCCTGGCCGCGCTGGAGGGCGTGGGAGGAACAAACCGAAAGCGCTTGGGGCCGTGCCGGGTTGTTCTGTGACGCTGACGTTGGGTTGCTGCAGTGGCTGATATGTGGTACCTGCACCTTTACGATCTAGTCAAAAGATAATAAAAAGAGGGATAAAACAGTTGCGGCCTCGGCTCTTTTGTTGTCTGGCAGTGCGCCTGTGCGCGTCGTCCCTTTTCCCAGGAGCAAGAAGCGGGTGCCCCCTCGCTTTGCAGAAATGGAGCACCAGGTCTCGCGTCAGGGAGTGCGCAGCACCACCTTGCGTGAGGCCGGGCTGGGCTGAGCAGAGCCGGTGCAGCCCCTTCGTGCCCGAGTACGTCACCGGAGCAGCGGCTGCAAAGCAAGCGCCATCTCAAGAAGCATCTTCTGCTTGCACATCTGTCCTCTGCTCCCCAGGAGTCTTGGTGTCCCCATAGCAGCATGGGGGCAGGCAGGGGAGGCCCCCCAAGGCGTCGAGGTGAATGCACGGCCCCAGACACTGCTTACCCCGGTGCGAGCAATTCAGTGCTTATTCTGTGCAATCTTCCGCAGAGAAAACTCGCCTCTCGCCTGTCTCCGTCAGGCCCGTTGAGAGAAATCATGCATCTGGTGCTTTCCTGAAAGCCTTCCGTGGCTTGGTGCATATTTAGGGTTGGTTTATGGCTGGGGAGGCCTGGGTCCAGGCAAGTGCCAAATCCAGACTCGCACACAACGGGTTTTGCTTACCGTTCCACCTTCTAGGACGGATCGGCGACCTTAAACACTCAAAGAGCCATTTGGACCCGTTTCCCACAGAAAAGAAAACACCGGGAGCCGCAAAACCCTTTTGACATCTAAAATGAGGTTAACACTGCATATATTGTTTTTTACCTTTATGCTATGTATAAAAAACGATAGTGTGGTACATTTATGAAATCGATGAATGATTCTTTTATATAATCTCCATCTGTGAACAGCTTCCCGTGCCTATTTCCTGAGCAGCTACATATGTAGTTGAATTTGCAGACTTAATCCACTTCTTGAGATGATTTTGCTCAGATCAACCTTCCGCATCAGTTCCAAAATGGCTTTTTTTCTCTCATCTCCATCCAGATATCTTTCAGCAAAGGCTGTGTGTTTATTCTGGAAATGTCTTGCAACATTCAACTTTTTGTTGTTTGCCGATTTCTCACCACATATCAAGCATACTGGTAAACCAGCCTCGTCAGCAGTGAAAGCCAATGAATCTGCCCACGTACCATTAAACGTTCTGTTTTCTTCTGAAACTTTTATTTTCTTGGATTTATCCATGGCTGGCCTACTGGGGGTCAAAAAGCGCAGTAAATCGTGTGCCGGCGGGTGTTGCACCTTGGCGGCCGTGACGCATATTTTGAGCAACAGCCGCAGCAGAGGGATGAAAGAGTCACATGCAGATCTGGAGCCACAGGTTGCTGACCCGTTCTAGGATTATCTGCAGTTATTGCCTACATTCTTTTCCTGGCACTTTGTGGACACCCGTTCTGGTTTCTCTGTTCATGTATCTCCATGGCCAAAGGAGGTGAGAGAGGGGCTGGTGAATCTGCCTGATGCAGTGGTGGTGTTCAGAGCTCCATCGAGGGCCATCATGAATACAGCCTTGGCTATAATTCTCTACTTGCGCTGGACTAAGCCCCATTCTACTCTGCAAGGATTACTGCTGAAAGATCACGCTGGAAAGTTCTGGAAATAGTCCCGTTAAATCAATTTACAAGGATATGTCCATTAATCCCAGTCACAAAGTACATAAATGCATGAATTCCATATACATCCCATCTCTTGAACGTGAACTAGAAAATCAGAAAAAACAGGGTCAGGAAGAGCAAACTCGGAACTGCTCCAACTTTAAAATGCTTCCATTTGTGGCATGTAAATGCCTAGAAAACCAAACGTGTGCCTGGCAGACGGCTTGAGAATCAGTCCTGCGGAAAAGGGGGCAAATGCCCTCCCTTGTGGGTCCTGAGGAGAGGACCCTTGGGGGGAAGGACGGGAGAAGCGTCCTCCAGGTGCTGCCCGGCCCTGGAAGGAATCGCTGCAGGAAGTGACGGTCCCCGTTCCCCAGAGATGCTTTCAACCTTTCCACAGCTGGGGACCGACAAAAACGGAAAACCACCTCAGGCGCTGCGAGGCAGAAGCGAAAAGCACCATGTAGCGTATGCTGTGTGTTAGTTTCCAAACACAATACAGAAACTGAGCAACAAAAAATGCCACCAAAGGAACAGAAGATGGGGCAGCATGGCTCCCAGTCGGCTCCCGCCACGCCGTCTCTCCCCGCCCTGCCTCTCCCGGCAGCACGGCGCACTCCCCATGAAAGTGGCGCCAACGGAGGAAGAGGTGGTGGGGCACAGCCAGCCCCTGGACCGGTGGCTGAACACCACTGCTCTGGACGGCCTCGGAGGCCCGCTGCCATTGTGTGGCTGCCCGTGGCAGAGCGGTTCTCCGGCCTGGCGCCCGTGGTGGAGGCGCCCAGGGACGAGCGCCACCGCGGTGGCCGTCCCACGGCGCCCGTTCCTGCAGGAGGCCGGCCGCCTGGCCGCCCGGCACCCTGGGCAGCAGAGCCGGGTGTCCCCGACGCCCTTGCTGTGGAACTTGGCGCGGGGCGGCACCTCGACGGGCGAAGCGCCCCCGCTCCCATCTGGGTCCCAAGGCTGGCAGGGCTCCGGCGACCGGCTCACGGGCGATGCGTGCGCCCCGCACCCAAGCGCGCGGACGGCGGCCCGTGTACTTGGGCCCCGCGCTGGAGAGGCAGAGCCGCCTTCCGGGCGAGGGGTGCGCGTCCTCCGGCCCGGCCCGGCCCGGCCCGGCCCGGCCGGGGCTCGGTGGCGAGTGCGGCTGGGAAGAGCCGCGACGGCAGCTGCGGCCCGCGGCCCGGGGGGTGG